AAAACACAAGAAGAAAGAAAAGATTGTAGTTAGTTCAAGGATCGTTGGCCTTTAGGGGTGTTTTCCAGTAAGCTGGTGACAGTTTTTTAAAAGTTCTTTCTTTAATATTAAATTTTACAAGTAGCTCCTTTTAATTCCTTTTCTAAAATCTTAGTGTGAAATTTATAGCTTGAGTAATCAACTTTTAGGGTTTTTTTCTATTCCAAACCTGCCTTCTGGGGTGCAGGGGGGTTCATCGGTCCTTCCTCGAAGTGTTGAAAGCTGTGGAAACTTCTGTAAAATGTCCATATCACCTTGGCCTCCTTGGAGGAGTTTGGATGAGCTAAAGTCCATCCAAGGACTCTAAATTAAAAAACCTTATTTGAGACTTTGAAGTTGTTAACTTTATGGAAAATATAAGTCTAAGCTAGTCTAGAACTTTAATTGTGTTTTCGATTCAAGTCTTTTAGAATGGTAGTTCAGTTTGGTTTTTATATCAGATGCCAAAAATGTTGAAAGGAAAAAAAAGTCAGCATGTTTTTTATGTTTCTGTTTGCAGCTAGCGTAGAACTTAAGTTCCTTGTCTTAACAACTCCCTGAAATCTAAATGTTTGAATTAGAAAATGTCTTTTATTTTTATTTTTAGATTTTACTCTGCAGAAATCAGTCTAGCACTGAATTATCTTCATGAAAGAGGAATAATTTATAGAGATTTGAAATTGGACAATGTATTACTGGACTCTGAAGGGCACATTAAACTCACTGACTATGGCATGTGTAAGGTGAGGGAAAAGATCTCTGATTATTAAAAGGGTTTTCTATTCAGTGCTTGATAAAATTGCTTCATGTGTAAAGATGGGGAACTGCTTGGTTTGAGATACTTTCTGGAATCTTACACGAAGGCAAATGTGCTATTCTCTTCAGCATTTGCCCGTTTCCTGTCTTCTGTGAGTGTTATTAGGCCATCCAAACCTACTGCCATCAGTCCATTCTAACTCCTCATGACCCTCTGATAGTGTCCAAGGCTGTAAATCTTTCTTAGAGCCTCAGCTTTACTCCTATGTAGCGGGTACTGGCTTTGAACTACCGACCTTATGGTTAGCAGTCCAATGCTTACCTGACAGAATTAATTCTTCTTGTTCTCTGTAACTTTTTTTTAAATTGCAAAAGTATGCAACATTTGCCAATTCGAGGTGATTTTCTGTTTTGAAAGTGGTGACACTTGGGAAAAAATTGGAAATAGTAATTGCCTACAATTCCCACCTCTTTAACACAACCGCTTGCATATCACCTTTTAGTTTTGCTATTTAATGACTCTTTAAATAGTGCATTCAGGATTTTCCTATGAGTGCTATCATTATAAAATGGTTTCAAACTTATATATGTGCACTAGAATAAAATAAGAATTTTAGTTGCTTTCAGAAAGATATGTCTTTATTTTCTGATCTATTTTATGGCAGTGTTTTATCTAAAAGTCTGTCCTTTATGCACAAAATGTGTAGAAAACGACTTTCCTTGTCAAAGTACAAGGTATAAAATTAGCCTCACACAGGCAGTAGCATGGCAGCGAGTACACTGAAGTGTGAACTGCCTTCCTCCTGAGGGGCGTGTCAGTTCCAGACCCTGGTGGAGGTGAAGTAAACACTAATGTTGTCATGGAGTCCGGCTAATAGTATTTAAAAGTAACCTTCAATAACTTCAATAACATATTCACATGTATTAGAAAATAAAATCTCGGACTACTTTTGCATATATGTATAAAACTTAGTCATTTTCCTAATGCTAGACTTTGAAGGTTTTCCATGTAGCTTTGAGTTATAGAGACGTTAGCAAATTAACCCAAGAACTCATCCCTCAGACTTGTGTCTCCTTTTGTTCTATTCATTTTTGCCCAGTGGGTTTTCTTTCCCTTTTCAAAAGGGGGGAAAATGATAATGAAGAATTCAGACAGTTCTCAAGAGAAAATGTGTTGCTGCTCTTAGATGCTGTGAAGCTGATTCTGACTCTTGGCATCCCCATACGTGCCAACCGGGACTGCTCCATAGGGTTTTCTAGGGCACGACCTTTCGGAATCGATCCCCAGTGCTGTCTTTGGAGAGACTGATAGGTGGCTTCAAACCACCAACCTATCAGTTGGTAGTTAAACACTTACTGGACTGCTCAGGGACTTGAGAATGTAAAACTGAAAATACAAAGAAGGTTAACTTTATTGTATTGTGTAAAACAGTGAAGGGTTTTTTTTCCTGAAGCCCAGATCATTGGTTTTAAATAGTTTTAAAATAGTCTGTATTTACAAGAGTTTAATGAAAAGTATGTTCTCATATGTCAGGTTTAAAAATTCTTAGACCATTTTGAAAAGCACTTTGGTGGAATGTGTCAGGAACCTTAAGGGTGCTGTATCCTAGTAATTCTGTCTTTGGGCTATTCCACCAAAGTGCTTTTCAAAAGACGAGAATTGTCTATGTTGGTAGGTAGCATTTATTTTGCTTAATTTTCTGTATTGTCTTAAGTTACTGCAATGAGCAATGGGTGCTGCATTACTTAAATAAAGATAATTTAATAATCCTAAAAAGGAATGAAAGGTTTTCTTTACCCAAGAGGATTTGGGAATCCTGTTTTCATTGGCAGATATTATTGGAGAAAATAGTGTTAAAAAATATTGGCATATTACATTCTCATTCTTTATGGAAACGCACACCCAACCTTGTTACAATCTTTGCTGTGTAATCTCAGTGGTATCATTTGGTAGATCTTAAAACTGGATGTCCTGCCTTTGTCTCTGTGTCTTTCCCTTTCTCCAGAGTCTGCATAGTTCTATTAGTGGGTAAAGGCGTAAGGTTAGAAGCTCTTTCAAGCGACATTACATTATGAACAGTCATTTGTGCCTTCTCTCACCCTGTGATGTTAAGATTTATGAGAAATGAATTCCTCGAGGTGTGAATGCCTTCCATCGTCTAACTCAAGCAAATCTTTAGATTTACATGAAGTCTGCAAATGTTTAATGTCATGAAAATTTGAAATGCATTTCTTTGCCTTGTAATAATTCCTTGTGAAATCTGAAAACACTAAAATACTCCTTGTTTCCCCAGAAATACTTCCTTCAGCTTAGTTTCTTCAGTTCTCACCTAGATGCTTATACATAAAGATGCAGAAGATAGTGCTGAATGGAGGCATATGAAAACACGAGTTCATGTTCAAAATACTTTATGAATGTAATGATTTAATTTTAATTCATTTAGCCATTTTATAAATTGATAGGGCTTTAACTATATTTCCATCAGTAGAATTTTAAGAGTGACACCTCTGTGGTGCTGTAGGTAATTTAACTGGTGGCCACAGGTACAAGAGTCAACACGTGAATCATTTAGCATAGCTTTGTTGTTCTAGGCCAACAGGCTGAGTCCTTTGCCTCTTCTTGCCTTGAACATGTGTGTCTTTTATCATCAGAAGGTACGATATGCCATTGCCAGCACTATAAAACAATTGAACATCGCATTCATATTTCTTAGTATATAAAATATGCAGTTTTATTGAGAATCATAAAATGGGGGTAGATACAATATATTACTAAACATTTTTCTAGATATTTCTAACAGTGTTATTATGTGACCTGTTGCCGCTGAGTAGATCTACCCAGGTCATCGCAGAACTGCCCTCTAGGGTTTCCAACGCTGTAAATCCTTAGGGAATCCGACTGCTACAGATTTCTTCTGAGGATCAGCTAGCTGGTGATCTCAAACCACCAGCCTTTCAGTTAGCAGCCTGGTACTTTATCATTGAGCCACAGGCTTCCTAGTGTTATAAATTACAGTACAACTTGGAGAAAAATATGTACATATTTTTATAAGAAATGCTTATAAGTAGAAAAAAAGAAAAAAGCAGTGCTTAATTTTATAATACTGCATAGTTAAAAAAAAAAGGTTCTCCTGTTTGAAATTTTCATTGTTTTGTACCAAGGAAATGATCTGAATCATAACTGCCTTTTGAAACGTTGAGATTTTTATGATTTCTTATTTTTTCAAGCAAGGTCTCTCTCCCTCTGTATATACATATATGTACACACACATGTATACACATAAACATATACATGCATCTGTTGTTAGGTGCCCTTGAGACAGTTTTCATTCACAGCAACCCTATGTGCAACAGAACGAACACTGCTCCGTCTTGCACCAGCCTCACAGCTGTTAGGCTTCAGTCCACTGTCGCAGCCACTGTGTCAGTCCTTGTTGCTGGGTCCTCCTTTTTTTCCCTACCCTTCTACTTTACCAAGCATGATGTCCTTTCCCAGGGACTGCCTCGTGAGGCTAAGGCTCGCCATCCTCACTTCTAAGGAGCATTCTGGTTGTACTTCTTCCAAGACAGATTTGTGTGTTCTCCTGGCAGCAGTCTGTGGTACTTTTCAGTATACCTTTGCCAACATCATAATGCAAATGCCTTGATGATTCTCTGATCTTCCTTATCAGTATCCGACTATCACATGCATATGAGCTGATTGAAAATATCCTGGCTTCGGTCAGGGGCACCTAAGTTCTCAAATGGTATATTTGCTCTTCCATACTTTAAAGAGGTCTTGTCAGCAGACTTACCCAGCTCAAGATCTATCTTGAAGTACAGTGCCTCTGTGATAAGGTGATAGCTATAAACATGCAAAGAAATACAGTTAATCTGTTTTCATAAAATTTATGCACCAATACTATGCATAAAATGTATGCAGCATCCACTAAAGCTAATAATGAAGGAATTGATGAATTTTACCAACTTCTTCAGTCTGAAATTGATCAAATGTACAATCAAAATGCATTGATAATTATTGGTGATTGGCATGCAAAAGTTAGAAACACAGGAAGGAACAGGACTTGGAACATACGGCCTTGGTGATAGAAATGAAGCTGGCGATAGCATGATAGAATTTTGCCAGACCAAAGATACCTAACTTCATGCAGATATCTTTTCTGTACAACATATACATTTATTCAGTGCATAAAGACCCCTCCAGATGGAATACACAGAAATCAAATTTGGCTACATTGGCTGGAAAAAGCAATGGCACAGCTCAATGTCAGCATCAAAAACAAGGCCACGGGCCCACTGTGGCACAGACCGTCATCACTCACATGTAAATTGTAAAGTCCACAGAGCCAAAATAGGAACCTTGAGTGTGTCCCACTTGAATTTAGAGAACATTTAAAGAATAGATTTGTTCATTGAACACTAATGGCAGAAGATCTGGTGAGCTATGGAATGGCATCAAGAATATCATCCATAAAGTTTTACCTCTCTCAGCCCTCATTGTATGCATTCAGTGTCCAATCACTTGAATTGTTTATCTGTACAGGTCAACAATCGATGTATTTTGTTGTTAAGAACTTGTCCACATGTATACTCTCCTTGTCTCAACAGTATTTGAAATTCTATAATGTTGGCTATAATAATGATACTATCAATAGAATTACCATATGCCCATTGGGATGATTTATAATTTTCCCCAATAAAAGGATAATGATGTCTTCAAAGTGTACCATGGGCATATTTAGAAATTTTTTTTAAAATATTTTATTGGGGGCTTGTACAATGCTTATCACAATCCATACACACATCTATGTGTCAAGCACATTTGTACATTTGTTGCCATCATCATTCTCAAAACATTTGTTTTCTACTTGAGCCCTTGGTAACAGCTCCTCATTTCCCCCTCCCTCCCCGCTTCCTCCTCCCTCATGAACCCTTGATAATTCATAAATTATTATTATTTTGTCATATCTTACACTGTCCGATGTCTCCCTTCATCCACTTTTCTGTTGTCTATCCCCCAGGGAAGAGGTTATATGTAGATCCTTGTAATCGGTTCCCACTTTCTACCCCACCTTCCTTCCACCCTCCCAGTGTCGCCACTCACCACTGATCCTGAAGGGATCATCCATCCTGGATTCCCTGTGTTTCCAGTTCCTATCTGTACCAGTGTACATGTTCTGGTCTAGCCGAATTTGTAAGGTAGAATTGGGATCATGATAGTGGGGGTGAAGCATTTAAGAACTAGCGGAAAGTTGTGTGTTTCATCATTGCTACATTGCATCCTTACTGGCTCATATCCTCCCTGCTACCCTTCTGTAAGCGGGTGTCCAGTTGCCCACAGATGGCCTTTGGGTCCTCAATCTGCACTCCCCCTCATTCAAAATGTTATGTTTTTTTGTTCTTTGATGCCTCATACATGATCCCTTCAACACCTTGTGATCACAGAGGCTGGTGTGCTTCCATGTGCAGGGACATAGTTAAACCATAGTTATAGAGATGGATTTTAAGCTTATCATAGCCCTAATCTAAGAACAGTTCTTTTGACATAGCTGTATCGATACTTGTCCTCATAAAGGGATCACTGACGATATGGGTGCTATAGCAAAATGTGGTGAAGAAAGCAAATGGTGACCGGCTACCAGAAATAATAGCATCTCTATTCTTAAAGGCTTGTCTTAAAACAAGCAGCCATCTAAGTGAGGTGTCAGCTAAGTCCACATGGAAGATGTATGCCAGCCCATATAAACTAGGGGTTATAAATAAGTAAAAAAATAAAAACATCAAATCTAAGACCAGAGGAAGGAACTGCCTTAGAGCATATACTAACTCTAGCTTTTGGCCACATAGATCTCTGCTAACTAATAGTTGGCATGTTTGAATTGTCATTTTGTGCTATTGATGTGTTAAAATTGTTTTACCATGATTGAGGTTAAGAATTTTTAACCACTTTTATTATATTTTGACATTGTGTATTAGGTGCATACTAGTTTATATTTGCTGTACTCTCGGTGATTGTTCAATTTATTATGTATTTTCTCTCTTTGTACCTGTTACTGCAGTGGTTCTCAACCTTCCTAACACCGCGACCCTTTTATACAGTTCATGTTGTGATGATCCACCAACCATAAAATTATTTTTGTTGCTGCTTCATAACTGTAATTTTGCTACTGTTATGAATCAGGCGATCCCTGTGAAAGGGTCGTTTGACCCCCAAATGGGTCGCAACCCACAGAACTGCTTTGTTAGTGCATCTTTCCCTAAATTTCTCTGACCTGTAGTTGTTTTGTTTTGTTTGTATATGAGAGAGCTTTATGTTGAAGAGTAATTGCATATTAAGAAAACATTCCAGTCCAGATCAAGTCCCTAAGTCCGATATTAGCCCATATGCCCAATACCAGTCTATAAATTCTTCTTCAGACTCACACAACACCTGCAATAATGCTGAATGCTGGAAGATCACAGGCCAGTGGTGGGTGGATAGTCTTGTGAATCCAGTGGCAGGGGTGGCATCTCAGTGCTGGTGTCGGTCTCCATGTGGCTTCTCCAGCTCCAGGGCTCTGACTCCATCAGCAGAGCTCCATTTTGCTTGTCCACAGGAATGTCTCGCAGAGTGTGTCCCACTTCCAGGGAGGAAATCGGGAGTTCCCAGAATCCTCAGGAGAAAGCCATGCCCACAGAAATGCCTCATTGGCTATGACTTGATTGACAGACTAGACTCCACCCTTTCACTCAAGTTGACAGTAGATTATGTAAATACCGTAGTATGTAAGATGAAGTCTCTCCGTCCTTGCCTCTAAGGAGCACTCTGGCTGTACTTCTTCCAAGACATATCAGCTTATCCTTTTAGCAGTCTGATACTATCAACATTCTTCTCCAGCACCACAATTCAAATGCATCAATTCTTCTTTTGTCTTATTTATCAAATTTCACATGCATATGGGGCAATGAAAAATCGTGGCTTGAGTCTGGAACCCCTTAGTCCTCAAAGCAACATCCTTGCTTTTCAATACTTTAAAGAGGTCTTGTGCAGCAGATTTACCTAATGCATTACTTCTTTTGATTGCTTGACTGCCGCTTTCATGAGAATTGATTGTGAATCCAAACAAGACAAAATCCTTGACCTGTAGTTGTTAATGATACAAAACCAAAGCACCGGTGTATGATAGTAAAGATTAGAAGGAACATATAATGCCAGAAGTGGCTTTGTTAAGAAGGGTTTAGAATGATTCTTTTCTTAATGAAGTATGATTTATTTTGCTCATATAATTTAAAATTTTACATTAAAGTTTAATTAAAAGAATAAACTATTTTTTAAATGTAGTCTTTTTCTTAATTGAATTGACTTTTATGACACTCTATTGAGACAAGGTTTTCATTAAGTAATTTAGTGGTGATCTAGATTTTATTAATAAACACAGTTATACTCATAATACAGTATTTTAAGCTTGCTATCTTACCTATAAAGTCTGATCTAAAAAGAGAAATTTGGATCTTAATTTTTTTCCTTTTTTTAAAAGGAAGGACTACGGCCAGGAGATACAACAAGCACTTTCTGTGGTACTCCAAATTACATTGCTCCGGAAATTTTAAGAGGAGAAGATTATGGTAATAAATAGATAACGTGGTATTTTAGTTGTGTGCTGAATGGGTGATTAAATGTGGTGCCAATTGCAATATAAGACACTAGTTTAATATTGATCCTTGTTTAAAATTTTTTGGGATGCTCTTAAAATATAAGTGAAGACCCCACATCACTTCTGAACTCTGAAATTAGACACAATGGCTCCTTGGCACTATTTGGTGGTAGAATTTTAAGTAATTTAGTAGTGAAAATAATGAAGAATGCCAGACATTGTTCTAAGCAGTTTGCATATATTAATAATCCTGTGAGGTAAGTACGGCTAACTCCTATTGTACAGATGGTGAAACAGAGGCACAGGAATGTAAATAACTTGCCCAAGGACATAGCGCTGGAAAATGGCAGAGCAGAGATTCAGACCTCAGCAATGTGACTACAGAGTCATGAACTTCTGGATGATTGTTCAGATTTTGCTCTGCTAATTTTTTTGTGGAGGGGCCAGGCTTGGGCAAAAACATCTCCTTTAATGAAGTCGTGTTGCCTCAGGCCATCGGCACCACCATTGTTCAGATTTCCTGAGGGGGTCCCAGGAGTCGGAAGGATGGTGCAGAGGCTCACTGCTTGTCAGGAACCAGAGGGTATACCGTATTTGCCTTAAGAAAATGTTTGACTCCTTGGGTTTTGACACTTAGATTTTAGAAGAAGATATGTTACTTCGACCCATGTTCACAATCTGATGCCAGGGCCCAAGGGAAGCTATTCTCAAATACAATTAATATAATTATAGCTTCAAAACAAAATATTAACTGTATGAATGAACCTGAAATTACAGACATGTTTGGGAAAAGATACTTAACGTTTTACCCAGAAGTTATAATTTTGGTCCCTGTTTTTGTTGATATGTCAAGTACTTCCGAATACCTCCTTCGTTCTAATACTTATGGGGTTTGCTTGTTCATTATGCTTTTTATTATTATTATCATTGTGTGATAGATTGAATCGCACATTACTGACTTTCAAGAATGCAGGTGGATAATTCCGGTTTCTTTCAAATTTCTGAAGGTTTCAGTGTCGACTGGTGGGCTCTTGGAGTGCTCATGTTTGAGATGATGGCAGGCAGGTCTCCCTTTGATATTGTTGGCAGCTCTGATAACCCCGATCAAAACACAGAGGACTATCTCTTCCAAGGTAACTTGCAGTGTTTTCTAAGAGGTCTTTGTAAGAATGTGTTCTAAAGCACAAGTGTGGATGGTGCAGATTAATACTTTGAGAAGGTAAAAGAATCATCTGGACAATATGCTCCATCTAGAATATATACTTACGTGTCAGATGTTGACTCTTTTGTTGTTGTTAGATCCTTTCAATTTTTGCAGTTTCAGTCTCACCTGCCAGGTACCTTCTTATTCAATGACTATCACCACTACTGCTAACAACAACAAAGTGATTTCTTCAGATTGTGTATCACAAAGAGCTTGGAGGAGTGAATCCTGTGGTTAGAGAGGACAGCCTTAGACATGGACCCGAAGAATAGGATGAAGGAAAGTAGAGCACCAATAAGATTAAAGGGGTCAGCAGGTGAAAAACAGAGATTGCATAGTCAGAAACAAAGAACTGAAGAGAAAGAAACAGGCAGACAAGCACAAGGATTCCCTATCGTACAGTTCAAAGAAATGCTATGGCTGTTTGAAATAAAATTCTACACTTGTAATGATAATAGCCATCAGAGGATCTGAATATAGACTGAATTTAATAGGTTACCCAAATGGCCAAGGAATATGTGGAAAGATGTTCAACCTCCTAGTAATTAGTAACTCAAGACCAGATGCCAGAGTTGGTTCTGACCAATAGCAGCCCTGTGTGTGTCAGACTAGAACTGCGCCAGGAGACTTTCCGGGCGGATGTCTTCAGAAGTAGATTGATTGCCAGGCCGCCTTCTTCCTGGACTTGAATTAGAGGTGTGCACATTAAACCACGGGTGAGACATGTAGCAGAGAGTATAGTGTGATAATGCCAGTGTTGGTGAGGATGTGGCGCACTGGACGAGCCACAGGCTGCTAGTAGCAATGCAGTATGGCACAGCACCTTTGGAGAGTAATGTGATGATGCCCAGTAAGACACGATATTATATTACATGTAATAGTTAATACCAAGGACTTGCCTAGCATTTTACTCATTCAAGCTTCATGACAGCTCTATACAGTAGGCGTAATTTTTATCCAGTTTTTATAGATTGGAAACAGAGACAGAGTAGCCTAGTCAAAGAATAAAACATGCACGAAAATGAGTTTTAAAATCCCAGAGTAGAGATTGTCTGCAATAAGTAAGAGGGGGAGAGGGAGGGAGCCTGGAAAGATACATGGCGGGCTGGTTGTATATGCAATGTCTTTGCTAAATGCCTAGAATGTTTTATAGGAAAAATATAAGATCAAATCCATGTTAAAGTTAAATGTCATACCATAATTTTATCTTTCTAGTGATTTTGGAAAAACAAATTCGCATACCACGTTCTCTGTCTGTAAAAGCTGCAAGTGTCTTGAAGAGTTTTCTCAACAAGGTATGGCTCGTGTCTATAACCAACCCTTTCCTGGTGTATCTCTGTCCCTAGGCATGGAGCTGGTGGTAAATGTACAGGTCCTGGCAGCTTAAAATTCCTAAACTGCAGATTAATTAACTTTTTCCATTAGATCTGGAATTTGGCTCCTAACTGAAAAGGAATTAGCAGCATTAAATGTTGGGATGCACTGTCTTTTCTGCTCTACCCATACACTTTGATCCTAGCTATATAGTACATACAGTGGCTTTATATAAATAATAATCATAATATATTCAATTAAGGAAAAACTGGATATTTGCATATAAGCTCATTATACTTTTGTTGTTGTCATCAAATTGGTTCCAACCTATAATGAGCCTATGCACAGTAGAGCAAGACACTGCATGGTCCTACGCCATCCTCACAATTGTTGTTGTATTTTTAAAATAATTGTTGCCATGTTTTTCATAATTGTTTGGCTTTTTATCCATAGAATATGTTCATTATCATATATTAGCACTGCTGGCCTAGTGGGATATGTGCTGGTTTGCTAACCCACAAGGTCAGCGGTTTGAATCCACCTGCTGTTTCTCGGGAGAAAGATGTGGCTTTCCACTCCTGTAAATAGTTACCGCCTTGGAAGCCCAGGCCAGTTCTGCCTTATCCTGTAGGGTTGTTATGAGTCGGAATTTACTCGACAGCAGTGAGGTTTTGAGTTTTCACATCATACTGATAATCAGAGGAGATTCAAAAGAAATTCGGTGTTCTCTTTGGCTCTTAAAAATATCTGGGATTATGATGTTGTCAGTCATAAGTCTTCCTTTAAATACATGGCAGAATAGACGGAGAGTTGATGCATATGCACCTCCTAAGGTAAATAAATAGGATAATGATACATTTTAGTTAAATTAGCCGTTGAAACTTGTTTGAAATGAATAGTTTATAAGAGGAAAGATTTAAACCTGAGACCTAGTCTTTAACACATTGAAATGTGAAGAGTAGAGGTGCTAATATACAAAATAAGATACCCTTCTCAGAAAGAACCTGCCTTTGATCTTCGTAGTAATGAATAAGCCAGGATGTTTTCAAAATTACAGTCCTTTCTCAGGTTAGTGATCTAGCTAGAGTTGCATCATTGGTGGAGCATTGGCTTTAAAAACTGAACTGAGGGCAAAATTGTGTTGCTACTGAGGGGTTTACAGATGTTGGCTATCCCTGTGACCCAGGCCAAGGAAATAGCCCAGCGCTGCTCAAATGGTCTACCCTTTATCAGGGAGCGGTGGCACTCTCCACTCTGATTGCACCATCTGTGAAGAGAGCCATGAGGAAATCTTACTGGTCAAAATATTCAGGTTTATCAGTTGGGTCGAGTCTTACCCAGCTGATTTCAAAGTACTATACTCTTCTGGCCTGGAGACTAAATGTATCATATAGTACACACAGAACATGGGTCACAAAGTTTTGTTTTGTTTTAAGCATAATAGTCACCCAGTTCTTGAAACATTTCTTTCTACCACAGGATCCCAAAGAACGACTGGGTTGCCATCCTCAAACAGGATTTGCTGATATTCAGGGACACCCATTCTTCCGAAATGTTGATTGGGACATGGTATGTCAACTTCAGCTGTTTGCTTTCCTAGATTACATTGTTATCTCGAGCCAGTACTTACCATGTTTAATGAATGCTATAAAACAAATAGAGCTCAAATATAAAGCCACTCTAAAGTGCTTCGGAAATAACTTTTAAAACATGTGAAGAGTAAAGCTTAGAATATTAATGTAATGGAGTAAGTTGTAATGTTAATGAGGCCTATGCCAATGTTTGTATTTGTAAATTATGCCCAGCATTATTTACAGTGTAGAATCATACCTGTGAATTCACTTTTGACTCAGTAAGACTGGGAAACATCTGAGGGCAGATGGGGAATGTAAAGGCAGTTTTGCTAAGAATGTAGATTTGAGCTGTCATCCAATATGTCTTTTTAGATGGAGCAAAAGCAGGTGGTACCTCCTTTTAAACCAAATATTTCTGGGGAATTTGGTTTGGACAACTTTGATTCTCAGTTCACTAATGAACCTGTCCAGCTCACTCCAGATGATGAGTAAGTAATTTTATACATGGAAATATATTTGAAAAAGTTTTGAAACCTCCATTTTTAGTGGCTATGCACAGTATTATCAAATTATAATGTAATCACTTATAGCCCAGCCATTAAGTTACTGGATATTTGAATCTATTCTGCTATATTTGATAATAACAACTGCCATGTATTTCCCAATGTGCTTTATATACATGCACTGCTTCTTATGCTTAACAACAACCTTACCAAGGTAGTAGTAGCACCTTCCTTTTACAGAGGAAACCAAGGCTCAGAGAGGGAAGTGAACTTGCACAGCTGTGCTGGTGTCAGAGTTAGGGTTCAAACCTAAGTGTGACTAAGGTCGGTGCTCTGTCCCTGTGCTGCCCACTTTCCTGTTTTGACAATGGCCATCTTTGTCTGAGTGCCTGAGTTTCGCCTTAAGACATTCTAGAAAAAGAATTGGGCCAAAGACTTAGACATTCTTTAAAAGCTCTTAATATGTAATGGCAAAATCTTTCTCAAAAGATGACATCAATTTGTCAATTGATGTCAACAAGCAGTGATCTGAGAGAAAAATTGTGCTTATATGGCAGCTTTAAAAAACATAGGTTAGACTATGGAAGTATTTTGAGCAGATGCCTGTTTTTACAGATATGAACTCTCTAATCTCAAGGGGACCCCGTTAAGCAGTTATTTTACCTCTATTCCCTGTATTTTCAGTTCCTATCTGTACCAGTGTACCTCCTCTGGTCTAGCCAGTCTTGCAAGATAGAATTCGAGTCATGGTAGTGGGAGCG